AAAAGTGAATATCTCTGACTAGGACAGTGGAAGAGGGCGGGGCCTGAAATTCTTTATGTGTTAACATATGCAGTTGGTTTAGCGTTGCTAGCCCATCATAGAGAGGAACACAGTCGAATTTTGATAATTAATGAAAACTCTGGAAGTGCCGTTTAGATCTCTCATATTAGGAAGCATGTACGCACTGTGACTTGGTAGCCTGCCCGTGTATCATCCCTGAGCTGTGAGCACAGACAGCAGAATCGAAGCGAAGTGGGGATCATCAGCAGAGTTTCGCTTTGTTTAAAGAAACATGTTGAGTTCCAGTGTCACTGGCTGAAGAAATATGCAGCTTAATGGATCGAAGCATCCAGGCCCTTGCTAAATGAGGGATTTTCTACATAAACTATAAATTTCATCCTTTAATAATTCCAACAAACTTCAGTATTAAATGCTTAATATTTCCAGACATACTTCACTTCACTGTTTAACATTCCCACTACACCATCAAAATGCGCGGAAGTAAAGTTGGACTGGTTACGTGGCAAGAATGAGAGACAGCAGATGAACAAAAAACACTATCGAATGGTACCCACGCAATATCAAAAAAATGCAAGAAAAGACACCACCAGGGCACTGGAAGAAGCCCTGTGAGCGGCTCTTTGGAATGATGTAAATGAGCGAAACCCGAAACAGAAATGAGCAGAAAGGTAGTCAATTGCTGGAACGGAAAGAAAGGATAATTTTTTATAAGCAAGAGCTTGTGGTTTTGCGCCTATTAATTTAACCACTTTATTTTCGAAAACTATTAGCTCCAAGAATTTTTTTTGAAAAACATCCTATATTACTTCTTTGAACAGCAATTTCAGCGAAACTATCAAACACATCCAGGCAATTATTACGAGGAATCGGTGATGTCAGTTTTATTTAGACTCATCCATACTTTGGACGCAGATAGCCGGGCCTATTGTTCCTGAAAAATGCTGAGATGATAAATTCTGCATATGGAAAAAGATTTTAGTATAAAGCGGAAAAAGTATTTCAAGCACTTACACCTCATTTTACCACCTTTTCCCTCTCTTTTGCTTTACTGCTTTTTCAGAAATTTGACTAACTTCTTGCTTTAATTAGTTTTCAGATTCAATAATCATTTCGAATCAGTTCTATCACTAGCAGTGAGCAGTCCAGAATCGAACAGGCACATCTACGGAAACGTCTCAATAGCACTGCGAAACTAAATATTCGCACTGATTGTTCCGGCGGTCCTGGCGCTGATACTTCGCAAATTCTGCAAAAAAAATATGAATTCATTATCTACTGAATCAGAAAGTTCAAATGAAAGTGGCTTAATTGCTGTATGCAAATTTCACGAAGCTTGTACAGCACACATAAAAGAAAGAAATTTGCTGCAGATACATCATTTCTACTATAATATCTTGACTGATTCGGTGTCTTTCAAAAATTGTGGGCTTGAACCAACCGGATGATTGTAATTTGTCTTCGATCTGATTTCTTTTGTGTACATTCTGGGGGAGAGAGTTTTCAGATCTATAAATGCATAGAATGCGCTGAGGGCGAAGCTCGGCTGAAATTCAGGCTTCGGTTAGATGTTTTATTAGTATGGGCAGAAAATTAGGCTCTAGTGGGACAAAGCTTAGTTTGAATCCGGATTACAAGCTTTTTACGTACAATGGGGCGAGAATTCGAGTTCAACTACGGTATAGTTTCAGATTTTATGCTTAAATTTGTTGGGAGTTAAGGCCTAGCTGAGTGAGGGACTTCAGACTTTATGCTCGGAATGAGTTGAAATTGAAACTTAGTTGTGGCTCCGGTTTGCTGGGGTAGATTTGTCATACGTTTAGCTGCAGATACGCTGATTCACTGGGCTATGTGAGATAATCACAGAAAAATTTGACATTTCAAAGTGCATTAGTGAATTTTTTCAGAAAAGAATGCTGTGCCGCGACCTGAAAGCGCAAGATGTAGAGCAGTACATCGTAAGGCTGATAAACACGGTGCGCGCAGGTGATAAGATAATGCGCAATTTTAGCGAACAGGATATAATCACGGTATGTTAAAACATTCAGATATGCTCTCCGAAAGCTCTATTTGCCAGCTGTGGGGAAACAAGGAAATCCCAGAGAATCCCCGGAAATGTACCCGAGATATTCTGGAGTAGTAAAGACAATGTGGAGTGAGGGATAAAAGGAAAAGAAAGAAAACTAGCAAAAAAAATTGTTTTAGCCGAGAGACAAAATTATCCATGTTACCTAAAATTTTAAGACTGTATCAGATTATAATAATTTGGGGTAACTAGTCTAAGTAGCCTAAATATGGTGATTAGTGCAATAAACTATAGTAATAAATAATAATAACAAATGCAATAAGAAACAGAAAAAGTATAGTATAGCAGTGTTTGAACTGCGGGAAACATTTATGCAGTTGAGTTTTAGTGGTGCTCTACCTGCGCAACAGCTAGAGCACCAACTTTTCTAAATGCTTTAATCAATGGTTCACGATCAAGTGGTCAGTCTACTGGCGATTCTGGTGTTCATTTGCTTATGCGAAAAAAAACTAACTTTTAAAACGACTTGAAATTTCGTGCTTCAAAATAACTGTCGTAAAAATTTTTGCGTGTAAATATTATCAGGAAGTACAGAACAGCAAATTTGCTATGAAGAAAATTTTGGAAAAAACATTTAGATCCTGCACAGTGTCCAGGATGTGTATGCCAAGGAACCAATTATGCTTGAATTAGAGTTACCCACCAACGGGTTAATTGTAGTAGGAGATCTGCATGGCGACATAAATTCGATGCTGCGCATATTACTAACCAACGGTTTCCCGCCACAGACCAACTACTTGTTCTTAGGTAATTCCGAATCATCATTTTTCGACAGTTTTTTTACTAAAATTGATGGTGGATTTTACTTCGGCGGCATTAGGCTGTTCACTAGCCGAAATATTTAATTTTTTTGAATGATAATTTACTCGATGTTAAAATGTAAGTTGATGATAAATTACTATAATGAGCTTATTTAATATTAAAATGATAAGCTGTGCAAGTAATAGATATCAATTAGCAGAATTATAAAGCTGCGCAAGTAAAAGATGTCAACCAACCATAC